ATTGGCTCGCTGCAACCTCTGCCTCCTGGGTTCAAGCAATTCTCTTGCCTCAGCCTCCTGAGTATCTGGTATTACAGTCATGCACCACCACACCTGGCTAATTTTGTATTTTTAGTAGAGATGGGGGTTTCACCGTGTTGGCCAGGCTTGTCTCAAACTCCTGACCTCATGATCTACCCACCTCAGCTTCCCAAAGTGTTGGGATTATAGGTGTGAGCCACCACGCCCAGCCCTGTTTTAGTTATTAACACAGCCATGACAAAATGGGCATACTTTCTTTATGCTAAATTGATTTAACCACACGCTTATGATTTGTGTACTTTTCTGTGTATGTATGAGCATAAGTCATATGGACGAAGTCTGTATAAAATCCTGTGGGTGACACAGAAGAAAAAGGATTAAATAATAGTTGAGAATTAAAGAGAAATCTCAACAAGGAGATGGCAACTGTGAAGGGTGAGGCAGAAAGTGAACTGTGTTCACCAATCAGAGAAGAGAGAGAAAAGCATTACAGTCAGAAGAAATAAACAGAAACAAGCTTGAAAACCAGTCATTTATTTTCGCTGGAAGGAAAGGGATTTACTGGGGTAAACAACAAGATGGGAAGCAGTTGGGCGCTAAATCTTAGGAAATCTCTCTGCTTAAATGGATTTTATTCAGCAGACAGTAGAATAAATCAATCTCTAAAATTATTTATAGCCATCTGTGTTACGGGATAGTTTCCCTGGCAACAATGTGTGAGGTACGTTGGGGGTGAGCGAGTGACTATGGAGGTGACAAGAGCTGGATGTTGAGAAGTAATGTGAACCTGATGTTTAAAGTGGTGTTGCCACTCATGAAGGAAAGAAAATGACATGACCTTTGACAACACAAAGGAGATAAGTGAAATGAAGAGACCACTCATAATCACAGCTGAAGCCCAGTTATTGGGCCCCTGCTATGTGTCAGGCACTGAACAAAATATTGTATGTGAATTTCCATATTTCTGCCTCACAGTACCGGATGATTGAAGGATGACAACTTTCCAGGTAATATTTCACTTAATATCGTGACAGTCCTGCACGTTAGGTATTATTAGTCTCAATTTACATCTGAGAAAATCAGCTAGAAAAGTTATATATGCCATGTTACAGAGATAATTAGCTATACAGCAAAGGATTCAAACCTATGATTTATCAGGGTCCCTGAAATAAAGTAGATACTTACTAAATCAATAATGAATAAATAAATAATCATTGAATCAATAATTGGTTAAATGGCTGATGATGACTGGATTTTTGAAGACAACATATTCTGGGCTAAGACATAATACTGCAGGGGAGAATAAGAGGTTATATATTTTGAACAATCCAGGGATCAAAAATTTGATTTTAAAAAATCACAGCATTGGCCAGGCATGGTAACTCACACTTGTAATCCCACCCCTATTCGAGGATGAGGCAGGCAGATCACCTGAGATCCGGAGTTTGAGACCAGTCTGACCAACATGGTAAAAACCCATCTCTACCAAAAACACAAAAGAAAAGTTAGCTGGGCATGGTGGCTCACACCTGTAATCCCAGCTACTCAAGAGGCTGAGGCATGAGAATTGCTTGAACCCAGAAGGCAGAAGCTGAAGTGAGCTGAGATGACGTCACTGCACTCCAGCCTGGGTGGCAGAGATTTGGTCTTTAAAAAAAAAAAAAACCACAGCATCATAGAATATTGGAATCGAATTGTATCTGAATTTTATTAAATATGATTCCAAGAGTCCAACTGATTATTAGTTTATTCCAGAGAGACTTTAGGGGATTTGGCATTTAAATTCTAACTGTAATATTCTTGTAAAGTCGACATCTAGAACTAAAATGAAAAAGCATACCTAGAATTCTAATAAAAACAGAGTTATATGATATTGCCAAGAAGCCTAAGTGCTCAGTACTTGCATGCTCCTGAAACACAACCATCCCTCAGTGTTGAGTAGGTAGAAATCATTCAACCTTCCACATAAATTTGCCCCCTGCATTCAGACTTTTCTACAGAAGCTTCATCTACCGCAAGAAAAGAGGAGTTACCTTCAATCGATTTTCCTTTTCCCACACAAGGGATTGAATGAGGGTAAGATGATTCAGAAAGAAGATACAGACAAGTACTAAAGGAATGAAAATACCAGAAAACATAAAGAAGAAATCATGATAGTATGATGGATAGGGAAATCTCTGAACAAAAACGCTGACATTGCTAAACAGCGTTTCTGCCGCTTGGCCACTATGATATCGCATGATGGCTTTATCCAGGGCGTGTTGCACAAACAGGAACCCTTCACTGATGTACCCTAAATGAGAAAACAAAGACTGATAAGTACAACAGACCAAAAAAACAGCTGAGCTGAACAAAGAGGAAGGGAATTAACCTATGTAATAAGGCTCTTCTGATAGTCCACATTTCAGAGCAGCTACCATGATTTTGCCACACAAATACATAATACTTCCTAAAATGATCCTAATTACCAGCTTATCAAAAGTGAAATATTGCAAGAAATTGGAGAGCTGCTTTTTGCAATTTCAATTAAATGAGAAGTGAATTAGTTATTGGATAAAGACTTTGCTTGTGTATCCCAGACAGTTGAAGAGAGACATGAAGCTCATACAATTAAGTGACATTAGTGAGTGATGCTGAAGTGCCACAACTGAATGACATAGATGAGCTGATGTCTGATAGTGATAATCCAAGTGTGGTCCTTTGACAGAATGCAAATAGTTTCTTACTGGTACATGAATTGAGTACAGAAATTAAGGACAAGCATTTAAAACTTGCATAGAAATTTAGCATTGCTTTAACATCTAAAATTTTTTTAATTAATTTACATAGCTCCTTTATGAGTGTTATTCCTGTGTCAGAAACACATATTATGCATATTTTCTCCCCTAGCAATCTTGCCTTTTGTATTTCTTTAATAGTGTCTTTCATATGAGAAGTATTTAACTTTGATAAAGTCCTATTTATCCATTTCTTCTTCTTTAAATTTTTTTCACAAGTGCCTTTTGTGTCCTAACAAATCATTGCCTACCCTCAAATCATAAAAATATTCTCAGCCAGGTGTGGTGGCTCATGCCTGTAATCCCAGCACTTAGGGAGGCCAAGGCGGGCAGATGATCTGAGGTCCAGGGTCCAGGACTGGCCTGACCAACATGGTGAAACCCCGTCTCTACTAAAAATACAAAATTAGCCGGGTGTGGTGGTGCATGCCTGTGATCCCAGCTACTTGGGAGGCTGAGACAGGAGAATCACTTGAACCTGGGAGGCAGAGGCTGTGGTGAGCCGAGATCACATCATTGCATTCCAGCCTAGACAACGAGAGCAAAAACTCCGTCTCAAAAAAAAAAGAAAAAAAAAAAAAAAGATACTCTCATTCATGTTGCCAGAGAGGCTTTATCATTTTAGCTTTAGGATCTTCTTGAATTAGTTAATTTGGTATAGGGTATAAGGAAGTGATCAAGATTCATTCTTTCCATAGGAATACCAAATTATTCCAGCAAAAGTTGTTGAGAAGATTTTCTTTCCCCAGTGAATCATACTGGCAGCTTCATGGAAAATCCAGCGACGGTATGTGTGTATTTCCACACATTCTCTTCTTTCTGTTCGTCTGTCTGTTTTTCCTCACACCTATAATGGCAATGTCTTACGTACTGTAGCTTTACAGAAAATCTTGAAATCAGGCAAGATACGTCCTCTGACAGTGTTCTTTCCCAAGATTATTTTTCCTAATCCAGATCCTTTCCATTTCCATGTAAATTTTTAAATAAACTTGTCAATTTCTTCAAAAAATCAGGCTAAGGTTTTTTGTGTTTGTTTTTGGAGACAAGGTCTTGCTCTGTCATCTAGGCTGGAGGGCGGTGGCATGATCTAGGATCACTGCAACCTCCACCTCCCGGGCTCAAGCAATTCTCCTGCGTCATCCTCCCTAGTTACTGGATTATAGGCTCACACCACTGTGCTTTTTTTTTTTTTTTTTTTGTAGAAATGGTGTTTCGCTGTGTTGCCCAGACTGGTCTTGAATTCCTGAGCTCAGGTGATCAGCCCGCTTCAGTCCCCCAAAGTGCTGGGATTACAGGCATGAGCCACTGCAGCCTAGCCCCTGCTGAGATTTTGACTGTGTGTGTATTGACTCTGCAGCTCAATTTAGAAAGAATTTACATTGTAACAATTTTGAGTCATCCAATCAATGAAGTTAAAATATTTTTATAATAATTTATTTCCTTTAAATTTTTCTTTTAGAAGTGCTTTGTTATTTTTGATGCAGGCTTATTATAATTTACTTTCATGTATTGTACTTGTAAATATCTTGGGATTTTATTACATTGGCGCATTGGTTGCAGTAGGTTTTGTTTTTATGTTTTGTTTTGTTTTGGTAATTTCTTTTATCTGTATACACGATTCTGTCGCCTGCAAAGAAACGTAATTTCTTTCCTTCTTTTCTAAAATTAATGTCTTTTTTCCCCTTTTCCTGGTACAATTGAAAACTTCCAGTAATATGCTGAATAGAATTGAGGAGAGCAAACATTCCTGATATCAGGAGGAAAATGTTCAATTTTATCAGTAAGTTACAATTTTTTTGCAATGTGCTTTATCAGATTGAAGAAATTCATTTTTTTCATACCTTGGGTAGGAAGACTTCTTAAAATATACTCTTTGGCCAGACATGGTGGCTCATGCTGTAACCCCAACATTTTGGGAGGCAGAGGTGGGTGGATCACTTGAGACCAGGGGTTCGAGACCAGCCTGGCCAACAGTAAAACTCTGCCTCTTCCAAAAATGCAAAAATTAGCTGGGCATAGTGGCACATGCCTGTAATTCCAGCTACTGGGGAGGCTGAAGCAGGAGAATCACTTGAGTCTGGGCGGTTAATGTTGCAGTGAGCCGAGATCACTCCATTGCACTCAAGGCTGGGTGACAGATGGAAACTCTGTCTCAAAATGAATATTTATTTATATATAAGATATACAAATATAAAACTATATATATATATATATATATATATATATATATATGCTTTTTATCTTAGAAAATAATGGTCTTTGCAGAATAGTTGCAAAGGCAATACAGAGAATTCCTATATACTATGCATTCTCAATGGGGCCACAGTATATGAACAGATCTATAGTGTATCTGTGGTATTAATATTTCATGGGGGAGTAGATATGGAGAAAATGTCTAAAGATTTCCTTAGAAAGGTAATAAAGATTGAGAAATACTATTATATATCCTGCATGAAGCCTCCCTAATATTACATCTTACATTATCATTGTACATTTGTCAAAACTAAAAAAAAAAAAAATTGGTGCAATAGTATTTATGTTTTATACAAACTTTATTTGGATTTCACCTGTTTTTCCTGGATGTCTTTTTTTTTTTTTTCGGTTCTAGGATCCCATTCATAATACTGCACTGCATTTAGTTGTCACGTCTTCATAGTCTCTTCTGAGCTGTTAAAGTTTCTCATTCTTTCTTTTTCATGACCATGAGAGTTTTTAAGACTATTGGTCAGGCATTTTGGAGAATGTTCCACAATTTGGGTTTAATGTTTTTTCACTAGTAGACTAAGGTTATCATGCAGTAACATAATTTAGAAAAGGCATAAGATTTCATTTCAAATTTTATAACTAGAAAAATAATATTTGAAAATATTAATTTGTTTTTTTGAGACAGAGTCTCGCTCTGTTGCCCAGGCTGGAGTGCAGTGGCATGATCTCGGCTCACTGAAACCTCAGCCTCCTGGGTTCAAGCAATTCTCCTGCCTCAGCCTCCTGAGTAACTGGGATTACAGGTGTCCACCACGCTGCCCAGCTAATTTTTGTATTTTTAGTAGAGACAGGGTTTCACCATGTTGACCAGGCTGGTCTTGAACTCCTGACCTCAACTGACCTGCCTGCCTTGACCTCCCAAATTACTGGGATTAAAGGCATGAGTCACCACACTTGGCTTGAAATTATTTTTAAAGAGAGTAACTAACATACAGCACAATTCTGCCACCCTAACAGAGCAATTATTTTCATATTTGGGTATCTGTCCTGGTTTTATGTTGATGAATATTCAGTTAACATAGCTATAATTTGATAATACAATTCTGAACTCATTATTATTTTAATGATTGCACAATGTTCTATCAAATTTTATACACACACACACACACACACACACACACACACATATATATATATATATATATATATTTTTTTTTTTGAGATGGAGTCTCACTCTGTCACCAGGCTGGAGTGCAGTGGCACGATTTCAGCTCATTTGCAACCTCTGCCTCCCAGGTTCAAGCAATTCTCCTGCCTCAGCCCCCCGAGTAGCTGGGACTACAGGTGTGTGCCACCAAGCCCAGCTAATTTTTTTTTATTTTATTTTTTTTTTTTGTATTTTTAGTAGGACAGGGTTTCACCATGTTGGCCAGGATGGTCTCGATTTCTTGACCTCATGATCTGACCACCTCGACCTCTCAAAGTGCTGGGATTACAGGCGTGAGCTGCTGTGCCTGGCCCAAATTATATTTTATACTTGTACTATGAATTTACCATGCCTAAGATGTAGGTTATTTCACATTTTTAAGAATTATGCTAATCAATCAGTTTCTTTGGTTGAATAATTTCTTTAAGGTATAATTGCAAAGTTGTAGGTAAAAGCAAAGCACCCACACTAAATCCTTGTAAATAGTAGGCTGTATAAGTGGAAAATTTTTATTACTATATTTATATTAAAAACTACTCATTAACCCAACAGGATAACACACAGTTACAATTAATCAGGGTGTATCAGTATCTGCAAATGTTCATTAAGTCATGTAAGTCAAAAGTTCACAATTAAGCTACATGAAAATGTAAAGGCATACAATGGTAATGACCAGGAAAGGATAAAAGGCAATAAAAATATGTTGTTGAAGTATGTAGGATTTTTATTTATTTAGAGATGCAGTCTCTCTCTCTCTCTCCAAGCTGGAGTGCAAGGGCTCGATCTTGGCTCACTGCAACCTCCAACTCCCTGGTTCAAGTGATTTTTCATATGGGGCTTTGGACACATTTACAAATAACCAAAATAGTTAAAAATAAGCAGCTTCCTGGCCAGGCACAGTGGCTCACACCTGTAAACCCAGAACTTTGGTAGGCTGAGATGGGTGGATCACAAGGTCAAGAGATTGAGACCATCCTGGCCAACGTGGTGAAACCCCATCTCTACTAAAAAATACAAAAATTAGCTGGGCTTGGTGGTGCGTGCCTGTAGTCCCAGCTACTTGGGAGGATGAGGCGGGAGAATCACTTGAACACAGGAGGCAGAGGTTGAAGTGAGCCAAGATCACGCCACTGCACTCCAGCCTGGTGACAGAGTGAGACTCTGTCTCAAAATAATAATAATATTAATAAGCAGCTTCCATTGCAAGAACAAAGAAACAGAAGTATAAATATGTGATGGCTCGTCCTACATGACTGGGATATTTAGAATAAAGATCTGCTTACCAGGACTCCCCCCATTGTCATCCTTGTTTCTGGGTCCCACCGAAGGGACAGACGGAAAGAGAAAATTTGTAAGCCAGCTGCTTTTTCCATAAATATTGTCCAGCATATTGCTCTTCTTGTCATTACTAAAACGCAGGTAATATTTTACCTACAAGGAGCAATTAAGAAACAAACAATATCTAAGAACTCCCCCACCCAAAAATAATTAAAGAATAATCAGATACAAAAGAAAGTTAAAGTACAGCTGGGAATATGTGATTTTGAGGTAGACTGCCTGAGGAAGCTAAAGTATATTCTGGACACCCAGAAGTGAGAACAAATTTGTCCTAAGGCACCCATGCTCTGATGGCATCTCAACTTAAGCCCACTTCCTTTAAATCCATCCTCTGTTAATTTTGTGAAGTTTTTTTTATTGAGGTGAGAGCAATAGTTAGATGTATACTGCAGGCTTGCGGTAGGCAAATATAGTGGCAACTTGTACATAATTATGAACTTTTTTTGCCTAAACAGACAGCTGGCTGCATACTGAAATGAAATGTACCAAAAGGCATGATTAATTTATCTTCCCTTTATGTCAGTCAATTATAGTGTTCTAAGAGGAAAATCTCTTCCTCTTTTAAAAACCAATGATAACATAAAGAAGACCCCTATATAAGAATGAAGGAGGAATGTGATTAAGATCTAAGTGTGGAGTGCTGCACAATCTAATTATTAAACCAAAAGGTAAATATTAGTTTTGGAGAACCGAGTAAATGTCAAGGTACATCATGCTGAGGTTAACTACCTTTACAAGACAATAAATGGGCCAGGGGCAGTAGCTCATGCCTGTAATCCCAGCACTTTTGGGAAGCTGAGAAAGACGGATCACTTAAGGTCATGAGTTCAAGACCAGCCTGGCCAACATGGTGAAACCCCACCACCGCAACTGGCTAATTTGGTATTTTTAGTACTGAAAATACAAAATTAGCCAGTTGTGGTGTTGGGTGCCTGTTATCTCATCTACTCCAGAGGTGAGGCAGGAGAATCTATTGAACCTGGGAGGTGGAGGCTGCATTGAGTCAATCACACCACTGCACTCCAGCCTGGGCAACAAAGTGAGACTCTGTCTCAAAAAAAATAATAAAAATAAATAACAAAAATACAAAGGACAGCAAATGGACCAAGAGTCGTCAAAAGTCAGAAGGATCAGACCAGAGAAATCAGGAAGAATAGGACGGACAGGCAGAGGTCATAGGTCTGGATAAATATTCATATACTCAGTTATCAAGACAAAAGTTTTAGGGACTTATTCCATGTTCAAGGAGGTAGACCTGTTCCTCCAGGAGCTCAAATTCTAGTTAAGGAAACATACAGATTTACATTGCAGCATAAACTCAGTGATAGAGACATGGTTAAGGTATTCATGGGAGGATGTAGGAGGGAAGGGGCATATGTGGTCAGAAGAGGCAACACTGACAAAAATTGTACAACGTCAGTACGTGCAAACCAAGTATAGGGCAGGGCAAGAGAGACCATGCCATGTAGAAGAGGTGAAGTTTCCAATTGCACCAATGTAAATTTAAACTGTCAAACCAAATGTACACATATGAGCCTAGAGCAGCATCGGTTTACCCTGAGTCACCAAATTGAGGGACATTGACCTATACGGAGGAAGTTATGGGGTGGGATGAAAGGATACCTATTACCCTAGTTAAAACCTGGCAGTCTTCCTTACTTTTTTGTTCCATTGACAACCATCTGTATCCTAAATGCAGAATTTTAGCTCTGTGCTCATCTATATTTTGTACTTTGGTTATTTTACTCAGCACCAGAGACCCCAAGTTCAAAGCCCTGTCCTTGCTTCTTCCCCTTGGGGGGTTGTTATCAGAATCTTCCTTGGTTCTAATTCTTCCAGATGTTCTAATTTTGATTCAGCCTTGTTAAGTCTTAGAGTTATTTTCTTTATTTATAATTAGAAATTATGAGATTCACTCAAAAGAAAAAGGAACATTTCATGTTGTGTTCCCTGCTAATGAAGATGCATATGTTTTATTTACTGCATCAGGCATTTTGTCCCAGGAAATGTGCAGTTTCTTTGCCATCATCTCTAGGGCTACAGACAGTTGCCATGTCAGACACAATGGCATAGGCCATGTCCACAATTGTGTTTCCTATGATTCCAGTTTATTAATAAGGCCTGGTAGGTGGTGAATACAATTCTTTCCTTATCTGCATGAAGCACTGGCTAAATTAATGCACACACACTGAAGCTAGTTAGATCTGGATCCCAATCCCTGCTGTAGCACACACAAGCACTATGATCTTGAGAAAGCTATGGTCTCTCCACTTACAACATGGAATAATGAATGATACCTCTACTTCATTAAATCTCTGGCAACTGGAATTCAAAATATGAGATTTCTGCATTAAACTTTCTCACCTTCAGTGGCAGGGGATCATTGCTATTTTTGAAATCATGGTCAAAAACAATAGCAGCCAGAACATTTTCAGAGTTCTTTTTTTGCTTAATGTAATCTTCAAATTCTTCTTCTGAGGAAAAGCCTAGAACTGCAGAGAGACAAAAGTCTAATACGTCAGTTGTCCACATAAAAGCAAAATATATGACAGCTCTTCCTAAATGTAAGATGGGAGACTATTTTACATGGATAAAAGGCTATCAAAATATTGTTATTAAATTTCAAAACACTATTGCTGAAACACTGGCATAATGAACTAATCGATACTTGAAGCGCATAAAAATGTTAGGGATTTTTAAAAATTTGATCACAAGTTTAAAATCATAATGAATTGTTATAATAAATACATTTAAGTAAATCAAGGGATAAAGGATGCTTCAAACAGTGTTTTGAAAGTTCCATCTTAAAGGGAAATAAAAAAATAGATCCGGCCGGGCATGGTGGCTCACACCTGTAATCCCAACACTTTGGGACAACCTGAGATCAGGGGTTCAAGACAAGCTTGGCCAACATGGTAAAACTCCATCTCTACTAAAAATGCCGAAAATTAGCCAGGCATAATGGTGGGCACCTGTAATCCCAGCTATTCAGGAAGCTGAGACAGGAGAATTGCTTGCACCTGGGAGGCGGATGTTGCAGTGTGCCAAGATCACGCCATTGCACTGCAGCCTGGGCAGTAAGAGTGAAATTCTGTCTCAATAAGAAAAAAAATAGACCCATGAAATGTATTCAAAATCCTACAGTAAGGGAATCTCTACTATAGAAAATACTAAGATATTAAGGAATGATACCACATTATTGTTTCAATATTTGAGGCAATTACGTTTCAATTTTTGAGGTGATCAGTCAGTGAATTTAGCCTGGATTAAACTTAACCTAATTGAAATTTTAAAAGGCTGGGGCATCATTTGTATTCTTCTAAGACAAAGTAGTTAGTCATTTAAAATATCTGTTTGTGGAGCTGTACACACTAAAGATTTTCTTAGGAGTAAACATGTAAATTGTCAATGGCTTCAAAGGTCTGCAGGAGAAAATGAAACGGCTTGTCACAATTCTTCATACAGCAAACCCCAGCTATCTGATTCTCAAAAACTTCCATTGGGAGCTTCATCATTGCCATGGTTGATGGAATAGCTTGAGAACACTAACATCCTCACCAAAGGTACTATTCCATGCTTCCCAAGTCCCTCCTTGCCACACTTGTCACCTGAACTCCAATGTATCACTAGTTTGGAATCTTAAAGAGACTAGCATATGGTCGGTTCCCTCAGCCACTCTGCTCCACTCATTTACTGCAAACGAATCTATCAAAAACAAAGCAAAACAAAAACTTAACACTCAGCTCCAAAGATTTAGCCCCCATCCTAGACAGTGTCTTTTCTGTACGTATGGATCCTGGGTGGAGACCCTTGAGTTTTGAGCCTCCAAAACATCTGCATTTAGGTGAATGTGGTGGTTGGGCACTTGCTTTATATTTGCATAAAAATGAATAATTCCTATAGTTCTCATAAACAAAGAAACAGCTTTGTCCAAAAAGAAGAGGGAAGGATGAGGTCAGATTCTGGAACTGATGCGGATTCTGGTGTTCCTGGGTCAATATTTATTTAGTCTGAGAGGTGACTGGGCATTCACAATGATTTATCTCCAAGACATGTAGAGTAAGCCCTCACTTAGCATCATCAATATGTTCTTTGAAACTGTAACTTTAAGGGAAATGATGTATCACAAAACTAACTTTGCCATAATCTAATTGATACAAACAAGAGTTAAGGGCCAGCATGGTGGCTCATGCCTATAATCCCAGCGCTTTGGGAGGCTGAGGCAGGAGGATCACCTGAGGCCAGGAATTTGAGACCAGCCTGGGAAACACAGTGAGACTCTACCTCTACAAAAGCTTTTTAAAAATTCGCCCAGGAGTAGTGGCCCACATCTATAATCACTGTTACTTATGAGGTTTGAGGTGGGAGGAACGCTTGAGCCCAGGAGTTCGAGGTTACAGTGAGCTATGATTGCACCACTGCACCCCAGCCTGGGCAGCAGGGCAAGACTCTACCTCTGAAAAAAAATGATAAGTTTTTATGGCATATTTCTGGTTTTTGGGCGGGGGATAGGGGTTTTGCTCTATACTTCTAGACTGGAGTGCCTATACAGTATATTTATGATCAGAAAAGCATCACCAAATATCTAAACAAACATCAAAACACAGGCCAGGTGTGCTGGCTCACACCTGTAATCCCAGCACTTTGGGAGGGTGGAGCAGGTGGATCACGAGGTCAGGAGTTTGAGACCAGCCTGGCCAACATGGTGAAACCCCATCTCTACTAAAAATACAAAAATTAGCTGGGCATGGTGGCACATGCCTGTAATCACAGCTACTTGGGAGGCTGAGGCAGAAGAATCACTTGAACCTGGGAGGCGGAGGTTGCAGTGAGCTGAGATCATGACATTGCATTCCAGCCTGGGTAACAGAGTGAGACTCCATCTCAAAAAACAAAACAACAACAACAAACACTTCTGTTGGCCAGGCCAAAAAAAAAAAAAAAAAAGGTTAAAAGGTAGGTGAAAATCAAATAAAAGGGAAGAATCACAAAGAGCAAAACAAGAATGCTCTTGAGTTCCAATAAAGCTGAAATATTTGCGGCTTTCTTTTATGACTACACAGGCTTAAAACCACAAGATCCAGGTGGGAAGAGTAGAGAGGAAAGACAAGATTGATTTCCTTGGACCAGGTAGTTGCAGGTAGAAAGTTTAGTTATTTCCATTGCCTTGAATGAATCCATGAGGCAGTAATCCAAATTTCAAATGGACAGGTTTACAGAGGAGATAGGCATGATTTCCTGTTCGAAATGTTTCCTCTACGGCTCAGTTTCATATTTTGTATTATTTGGAAAACAGAAGACACATTGGAAGTACTGCTAGATGCTATAGCTCTTCCAAATAGTCACTGGTAGGCTGGGCTTATGGTGATACTTAGCATAGATGGTGGCGGAGAATAAATATAATATTTCCTATATTATTTCTTATTATTTGCTATAATAAAGTTAGGGTTTTTTTTTGAGACAGAGTCTCTCTCTGTTGCCCAGGCTGGAGTGCAGTGAGTGGCATGATCTTGGCTCACTGAAACCTCTGCCTCCCGGGTTCAAGCTATTCTCCTGCCTCAGCCTCCTGAGTAGCTGGGACTACAGGCACCTACCACCATGCCCAGCTAATTTTTGTATTTTTAGTAGAGACAGGGTTTTACCATGTTGGCCAGGATGGTCTCGAACTCCTGACCTCATGATCCATCTGTCTTGGCCTCCCAAAGTGCTGGGAATTGCAGGCATGAGCCACCGTGCCCAGCCAATAAATCTAGTCTTTACTGAGTGCTTACTATATGCTGAGAACTGCTTTAAATACTTCACATATATTAATTCATTTAATCTTCACAACTGCCCTATAAATAAGACACTTATTATTTTCATTTTATAAGTGAGGAAGTATGCTGTTTATTTTGGTTTGTCCTAGAGCAGGGGTCCCCAACCCCAGGCCATGGACTGGTACCAGTTCGTGGATCCAAGCTCCTTTTGAGAATCTAATGCTTGATGATCTTTCACTGTCTCCCATCACCACCAGATGGGATGGCCTAGTTGCAGAAGAACAAGTTCAGGGCTCCTGCTGATTCTCTACATTACTGTGAGTTGTATAATTATTTCGTTATATGTTACAATGTAATGACAATAGAAATAAAGTACAGGCCGGGCACAGTGGCTCACATCTGTAATACTAGCACTTTGGGAGGCTGAGGCGGGTGGATCATGAGGTCAAGAGATCAAGATATCCTGGCCAACATAGTGAAACCCCATCTCTACTAAAAATACAAAAAAATTAGCTTGGTGTGGTGGCAGGTGCCTGTAGGCCCAGCTACTCAGAAGGCTGAGGCAGAAGAATCACTTGATCCCAGGAGGTGGACATTGCAGTGAGTCAAGATCACACCACTGCACTCCAGCCTGGCGACAGAGAGAGACTCTGTCCCTAAATAAACAAATAAGTAAATAAAATAAAGGAATAAAGTACATAATAAATGTGATGTGCTTGAATCATCCTAAAACCATCCCCCCGGCCACTGGTCTGTGGAAAAATAAATTTGTCTTCTATGAAACCAGTTCCTGGTGCCAAAAAGGTTAGGGACCATTGTCCTAGAGAAACTGCTGTAGAGAGATATTAATGTGTGTAGCTGGGGGTGCACTGGTTATATGATGTGTAGCCTCAGAGGTCTTTGATCAAAAGCAATTTTACATTCCCATCACTTGACATCTGAAATCATTCTTCTCCTAACTTCGTTTCCTTTCCAGTGGAGATTCCAGGACCTATCACTTCAACAACTCTTCCAATTCTTCGTTTCTCCTACCTTGCATCCTAGAAACCTGACCAAAACAAACAATCCTAACCCAACCCTAAAAGAATCTTACTTTCAACTTTTCTCATTTCAACATATACCCAACTTGCTTAGCCCCAATAAGGAGAGCATTAAACACACACAAACATGCAACCGTGTTCTGAAAGCCTAGACTGGGGATAGTTGTTCTTTCCATCAGGGTCATGCATGAGAAAGCAAATGCCTCAGCCTGGGATGACGGGGCAAAGCTGAAACCCAGCTGAAACTCAGACACGTGAGCAGCTCTTCTCCTCACCCCTCCAGGAATTACACTAGTTCTACTTCTCTTGGTATAGGAGGCTCCATTTTCTTTCTTCCTTTCATTGTTCCTGGTCTTCTCAGATACCTAAAATGTTTTCCCTGGATATTCATCTTTGACTGTCAGCTGCCTTGATTAACCATGTGCACCTGGGAAGAGGGGTGAAAGTCTGGGTATGAGCTTCTAGTCTTCCAAGTGAGTTCAGGCAGGTAGATGACAGTGACTGGAGGGCTAAAATGCTGAGCAGTGATTTCAGCAGCTGTACCAGGCTTGGGAGACAGAGGATGGAGCTCAAGCCCCACAAGGTAAGGAGCCTTCTTGAACCCTCGACTTTTTTTTTTTTTCCTGAGATGGAGTCTCACTCTGCTGCCCAGGCTGGAGTGCAGTGGCACAATCTTGGCTCACTGCAACCTCTGCCTCCCAGGTTCAAGCAATTCTTCTGCCTCAGCCTTCCAAGAAGCTGCGATTACAGGCGCCTGCCACGATGCCCAGCTAATTTTTGTATTTTTAGGACAGATGGGGTTTCACCATGTTGGCCAGGACGATCTCCATCTCTTGACCTTGTGATCCGCCTCCATTGGCCTCCCGAAGTGCTGGGATTACAGGCGTGAGCCACCGTGCCCAACTGAACCCTTGACTTTCAGTTGAAATCATGGAATGGCCATGGGCTAGGAGTAAGAATCAGTCACACACTAGGACCAGGGTTACGTCCCAGAAGTAAAGAGGAAACAGAAATAGGGCAGTCCTTAGTGAAGCTAAGACCAGCCTTCAGTGGGGGCAAGGGAAATTACTAGCACTCTAACAATGATTCAAAAGAAAATTTAACCCTCTTTGGATAAAGAAATATTTCCAAGAGCCTTCAAAATTTTTCATCTGCAAAATCTTGCATTTATAACAATATACAAAGCATGTTATAAAACAGAACTAATGGCATAAAAGAAAAAAAAAGATAAACAAGTCATCTGGATACCAGAACTTCCTGGTAGAGATTTTCAAATAACTATGGTTGATATGGTTAATAAACTTAAAAATGGTACATTTTGCAAGAGACCTGGAACCTATAAAAATAGAGATAAATGGAAATTCCAGAACTGAAAAATATTATTTTTAAAATTATTCAATGGAAAGATCACATGAACTGTAATTCAAAATAAATAAGCAAAAAGAAAAATAGCTAAATCCCAGTGGGAAATTTTAATATCTTAAAATGTATACATTTTAATATATACAGGCCAGGCAGGGTGGCTCACGCCTGTAATCCCAGCACTTTGGGAGGCTGAGGCGGGCAGACCACACCCAGCTAATTTTTATACTCAGCCTGGCCAACATGGTGAAACCCCATCTCTACTAAAAACACAAAAAATTATCCAGGCATGGTGGTGGGCGCCTATAGCCCCAGCTACTCAGGAGGCTGAGGCAGGGGAATCACTTGAACCTGGGAGGTGAAAGTTGCAGTGAGCCGAGATCATGCCACTGCACTCCAGCCTGGCAACAGAGTAAGATTCCATCTCAGAAAAAAAAATTAGTATTTACAATATATAGCTTATTTAATCCTAATAATCGCTGATTGAAAATTTAATACTTCTTTCAATGACTGATACAATAAGCAGACAAAAAAAAAAAAAAAGAGAGAAAGAATACAGATGATGTGAAAAGCATGATACTTAGCCAACTGTGCCTAGGTGGCACTTATAGAACACTATAGGCAAAGCCTAGAGCGCACATAGATTTTACAAATGCACAGAAAACGTTTATGAAAATACACCATGTACTAGCCATAAACAATGCTCAAAATGTCAACGAAGTGGATTGAGTATACTCTCTGATGAAAGGAAATTAAAACCGAAATCAACAACAGAAAGATAACAAGAAGCTCCCCGTATTTAGAAGTTCAGCAACACACTGCTAAAAATTCTAAAATCCATGCATCAAAGAAGAAATCAGAGTGGAAATCAGGAAATGTTTTGAGTAACCCAAACAGACTGTTGGAGTAACCCATAACAGACTCTAAATTTGGTGGGATATTTTTGTTGTATCATTTAAAAATTACTGGGAACTTTGTATTCTTCTGTTTCAGTCTTTATTTTAAAATGCTTTGATAAAAAATCAACAAAAAAGAATACTTTGAATGGCATCTACTCTCAAGGACTCTCATATCTCTTGAAAGACAAAAAAAGGTGGAAAAATTACATGACTGAGTGTGTGTGTGTGTATGCATGCACACGTGCAGAGAGAGGTATACTAGGGAGATGCCCACAAACTTTTTTTCTTTTGAGACAGAGTTTCACTCTGTCACCCAGGTGGAGTGCAGCGTCACAATCTCGCCTCACCCCAACCTCCCCCTCCTGGGTTCAAGTGATTCTTGTGCCTCTGCCTCCCAAATAGCTGGGACTACAGGTGAGCACCACCACGACCAGCTAATTTTTATGTTTTTAGTAGAGACAGGGTTTCACCATGTTGGCCAGGCTGGTCTTGAACTCCTGACCTCAGGTGATCTGCCCACCTCAGCCTTCAAAAGTGCTGGGATTACAGCCATGAGCTACCACTCCCAGCCCAAACTTCTGACAATATTTACCTCTTGAAGAAGGAGGTAAGAAAGTGATCTGGGAATATGAAGGTGAGTGAGAGATTCAGAGCTCTTAAAATGATTCTATGCAGCTTGAGTGTTTTCTAAAGCCTTCCTATATTACTTGTACCACATTTTAATATAAAACATTGTTTTAAATACCTGACCACTGACCTGTGGCACATAATCACACACCCCTGGAGGTATACTTAGCCAGGTTCAACAAACACAATCAGATAGAAAAAACACGTAGTATCACAAAACTGGATAACAACTTAGAATAATAATAAGTGTTGGTCATCTAATTTTGAAATGTTACTATTTGTTCTGGGCTCTACAAACAAAATATTTTATATAAATTTAACTTTCAAGTTTAACAAAGTCCACAGTATTTATACTTACTATGGGAATATCCTACAATATTTTACTTGGGAGGTTAAGAACCAGTTAATAAGGTTGAAAGTATGTTTTAACTAAATGAATTTAGTAATACTCTATGATTTTTTTCAGAAAACCTTAATTTCTAACCTTTCATTTGGGGGTTTATATCCATTTTCACCCTTTCAATAATACCCTGGACCACAGTGCTTCTGGAAGGCACATAAGCCAATTCCAAAGAAGGAGAAATTAAATAATCTGCGATCTGGAAAGGCACTTCACTGACAGGCTGAGGAGAGAAACTGAAAGGTCCATTCTTCTTTATAACAGTAACAAAGCGTGTTGCCAAAAGTGCAGCACTAAATAGAAATGTGAAGACCATTTCCACAACTAAAGCAATACATCGCCGCCTCTAGAAGAAGAAGAAAAAAGATTATGTTAATTGCCCTAAGAGGTTAACCTTGCAAGTTCATTTCTGAATTTTTAAAAAATTTTTAATTCTCGTTGGCCCATAGTAGGTGTATATATTTATGGGTTACATGAGACATTTGGATGCAGGCACACAATGTATAATAATCCCATCAAGGTAAACTGGGTGTCATTCCCTCAAGTATTTACCCCTTGTGTTACAAATAATCCAATTATACTATTTTAAATATTTTTAAATGTAGAATTACATTTTTTTACTCTAGTCATTCTGTTTTGCTAGCAAATACTATGTCTTATCCATTCTTTCTATTTTTTTGTACCCATTAACCATCTCCACATCCCCCTTACCTACCCCAAGCTACCCCTTCCCCGCCTCTGTTAACCATCCTTCTACTCCCCATCTCTATGAGTTCAATTGTTTTAATTTTTAGCTTCTACAAATGATTAAGAACATGCAAAGTTTGTCTTTCTGTGTCTGGCTTATCTCACTCAACATAACGACCTCCAGTTCCATCTCTGTGGTTGCAAATGACAGGAACCCATTCTTTTTCATGACTGAATAGTAGTGTATTGTGTATATCTAGAATTCTTTTATATTAAGATAAAATATACTTCATAAAATAATATATATAGATTGCCAAAAACACAGCTTTACTCCATAACAGATGCAGTTTCCTGGACTGTCTTTTTTCTCCTTTCTACATAACGTCCTGCTATTATTTCTCTCCGCAAGAACTCTATATTTGGAAGAGATAACCCTAGCCCTTGTACTGAGAAAAGTAAAACAGTATAAATTGAAATTTAATGCTCAAGGTGTCAGAATATTCCCCTGTGCCCTCTGAGCTGTTGTAATAACCTTATAGATACCTATAGATAGTTCAACTTACCTTTAAAATAAAATTCTTCCAGAGAAGAACCATAAATTTTTTGGATTCTGAGAAATCCATTCTTCTAAAAAGAGAGGAAGTTCAACTCTATGGAGGGAGTAAAGATTTTTTTAAAATAAAAGATTATCTAATGATGTGTACATTTTAGACAAGCAAATTACTTAAATTTCAATTACTTAATTTTATAATCAAGCTTTAAAGATAAGGAATATTTAATAAAGATTTAAAATAAGAAATGTAAGGATTTAAAATATTTGAGAAGTTGTTTATCCCTACATTTTTTTTTTCCCCGAGACGGTGTCTCACTCTGTCACCCAGGCTGGAGTGCAGTGGTGTAATCTCTGCTCACCGATACCTCTGCCTTCCAGGTTCAAGTGATTCTCCTGCCTCAGCCTCCTGAATAGCTGGAATTACAGGTGCCCGCCACCATGCCCAGCTAATTTTTGTATTTTTAGTAGACACAGAGTTTTACCATGTTGGCCAAGCTAGTCTAGAACTCCTGACCTCAAGTAATCCACCCACCTCGGCCTCCCAACCTACGTTTATAATTTAGTTAACATCTATAGATCTTCTAATATGAATAAAATACCAACCACAAAACAAAGATCAATAAGTTTTGATGCAAGTTTCCAGGTAAATTTTGCTAGTGGCTTTCCCAATTCCCATGGAAATAATTTAAAAACAACAAAACAAATAAATCACCACTAACAGCAAAGCAACAAAACAGTATATAAAATCACAGCACAACTATAAGCCCAAAATGCTATTCAAAAATCAGATTGGAAGTAACTACCACTAATAGTATTGCTAAGGAGAACAGATTTGCAATGATCTGAATGTTTGTGTTCCCGTAAATTCATATGTTAAATCCTAACACCCAAGGTCGAGGTATTTAGAAGTTGGGATTTAGGGGCTGGGCACAGTGGCTCATGCCTGTAATCCCAGCACTTTGGGAGGCCAAGGCAGGTGGATCCTCTGAGGTCAGGAGTTCGAGACCAGCCTGGTCAACATGGTGAAACCCTGTCTCTACTAAAAATACAAAAACTTAGCCAGGCCTAGCGGGGGGCACCTGTAATCCCAGCTACTCTGGAGGCTGAGGCAGGAGAATCGCTTGAACTGGGGAGGTGGAGGTTGAAGTGAGCCAAGATTGTGCCACTGCACTCCAGCATGGGCAACAAGAGTGAAACTCCATCTCAAAAAATTAAACATAAATAAGTAAATAAAAATAAGAAGTGGGGATTTAGAGAGGTGATTAGAATGGGTTGAGTTCCCTTATAAAAGAGGCCCCACAGAGATCCTTCATTCCTTCCACCATGTGAGGACACAAAGAAAAAACAGGCCAACCAGGAAAGGGGTCCTCACTAGACATGGAATGTGCTCCCACCTTGATCTTGGACTTCATAGCCATCAGAACTGTGAGCAATAAACTTCTGCTGTTTTTAAGCCACAGTCTGTGGTATTTTGCTATAGTATCCCAAATGGACTAGGAGAAGGTTCATTCTTACACTTAATGCGTATTTTCTGAACACCTACTACATGTCATGTGAGGGGTAGGTGTGCAATGGGAAGCAAAACAAATGAAATCCATCCCTCATGGTAGGGGTGACATGGAAGATTCCTTTTAATAACCCAGGATCTGAAGTCAGACTGCCTGGGTTCAAATCCTACCACTATCATGTGGCATTTCACAACTATGTGACCTTGAATATTTGACTTAAATTGTTGGGGCTACAAGAAAGAGAGCTAGAATTCAGGGCAAGGAGTGGAAGAGATTAGGACTTGACTTTATAAGGAGGAACCTAAAGGAGACTGGCCTGGCCAGGGACTGCAAATAATCTCAATCCTTTTAGCTTCTACAAATCCCAGCTTCAAATAATCTCAATCCTTAATACTGGATGAGGGCGCTTCCAAGATTGCAAGTACTGACAGCTGCCTAGCATAAAAAAAACGAGTCTTCTCTGCAGAAAAATAACAAAATGCTAGAGTTAACTTCTCCTACAAGCAACTTTTAAAAATATGACATAAGGTGAACATAAGATATTTTTAAAATCTCTGCTATCACTACAGAATATCTTTCTGACACTGGGGTAGGCAGAGATTTCTTAAAATGGATGCTAAGGACACAAACCATAAAAAAGGGGCTTTATCAAAATCTAAAATTTCTGCCCATCAGAAGCTAACTTAATATCAGAAAATAAGTTGGGGACTGAACCTTCATGTCCGCCCTAGCACCAGGCTAGATCTCACAGCTCCAGGTTCTGGGCCTCCTGGACCCAGCAGCCAGGATGGCCCCAAAGATACAGGCTCCAGGCTTACCCATTGCCAGGCTGGTATCAGCAAACTGAGTCTCCAAGCCCATCCCAATGCCAGGCCAGATTCTGCAGTCCCAGGTTCCAGCCCAGCCTGGTGGACTTGGTTTCTGGGCCTGCTCCTATATTAAGCTGACCCAAGCACTAGGCAGGCCCCAATGGCCCTGGGCTTCAGCTCTATCCAGCACCAGGATGGCATATCTAGGCTCAAACACCTGGCAGGCACCTGCAAACACAGGGCTTAGGTCTTCCCTGTGCCAAGCCTTGTGAACCCAGGTCCTAAGATGACTCCAGGCAGGACCCAATTCTTCACAGACCTAGTTTCTGGCCTAGCAACCATACGCCCAGTGTCCAGGCTGACACCAGTGGACACAGGCTACAGGCAAGCACCAACTAGGCATGAGTTTTACAACCCCTGAGGATAATAAAATCCATGGATGCTTAAGTGGCTTGGATAAAATGGTATAGTATTTGCATATAATCTACACACATACTCCTTATGCCTCAGATTTTCTGTAGATACTCATAATACCTAAAACGATATAAAATCTATATAAATTTTTTTTACACAACATTCTCTAGGAGGGTTCATATGTTAGGCCACAAGATCAATCTTAATAAACTTAAGAAGCCTGAAATCCATTTCAAGCACTTTCTCCAGCCACTAACAATCAAAAATAGAAGGAATTTCAAAAAATGCAGAAATAACAGTCTCTCAGACCACAGTGCAATCAAGTTAAAACTCAGGGTTAAGAAACCCACTCAAAACCACACAACTGCATGGAAACTGAACAACCTGCTCCTGAATGACTACAGATAAGTAATGAAATGAAGGCAGAAATAAAGATATTCTTCGAAATCAATGAGAATGAAGACACAACATACCAGAATCACTGGGACATATTTAAATCAGTGTCTAGAGGGAAATTTATAGCACTAAATGATAAGAGAAATGAGGAAATATCTAAAATTGACACCCTAACTCTATGATTAAAAGAACTACAGGAGCAAGATCAAACAAATTCAAAAACTAGCAGAAGACAAGAAACAACTAAGATCAGAGCAGAACTGAAGGACATAGAGACACAAAAACCCTTCAAAAAAATCAATGAATCCAGAAGCTAGTTCTATGAAAAGATCAACAAAATAGATAGACTACTTGCCAGAGTAATAAAGAAGAAAAGAGAGAAGAATCAAATAGATGCAATAAAAAATGGTAAAGGAGATATCACTACTAATCCCACAGAAATACACACTACCAGAAAATACTACAAACACCTCTATGAAAATAAACCAGTAAATCTAGAAGCAATGGATAAATTCCTGGACACTTAAACCCTCCAAGACTAAACCAGGAAGAAGTTGTATTGCTGAATAGATTAATAACAAGGTCTGAAATTGAGGCAAAAATTAATAGCCTACCAACTAAAAAAAGTCTAGAACCAGATGGGTTCAGAGCTGGTACCATTCCTTCTGAAACTATCCCAAACAATACAAAAAGAGGGACTCCTCCCTAACTCATTTTATGAGACCAACATCATCCTGATATCAAAACCTGGCAGAGACACAACTAAAAAAGAAAACTTCAGGCCAAAATATATGATGAACATTGATGTGAAAATCCTCAATAAAATACTGGCAAACTGAATCCAACAGCACATCAAAAAGCTTATTCATCATGATCAAGTTGGCTTCATCCCGGGGATGCAAGGCTGGTTCAACATACACAAATATATAAACGTCCTCCATCACATAAACAAAACCAAAGACAAAAACCACATGATTATCTCCATAGAAGCAGAGAAGGCCTTTGACAAAATTCAACAGCCCTTTATGCTAAAAACTCTCAATAAATTAGGTATCAATGGAACATATCTCAAAATAATAAAAGCTATGTATGACAAACCCACAGCCAGTATCATACTGAAGGGACAAAAACTGAAAGGATTCCCTTTGAAAACTGGCACAAGACAAGGATGCCCTCTCTCACCACTCCAAGTCAATATAGCATTGGAAGTTCTGACCAGGGCAATCAGGCAACAAAAAGAAATAAATGGTATTCAGTTAGGAAAAGAGGAAGTCAACTTGTCTCTATTTACAGAGGACATGATTGTATTAGAAGATCCCACCATCTCAGCCCAAAATCTCCTCAAGCTGATAGGCCACTTCAGCAAAGTCTCAAGATACAAAATCAATGTGCAAGAATTACAAGCATTCCTATAAACCAGTAATAGGCAAACAGAGAATCAAATCATGAATGAACTCCCATTCACAATTGCTACAAAGAGAATAATATACCCAGGAATACAACTAACAAAGGATATAAGGACCTCTTCAAGGAGAACTATAAACCACTGATCAAGGAAATAAGAGAAGACACAAACAAATGAAAAAACATTCCATGCTCATGGTTAGGAAGAATCAGTATCGTGAAAATGGCCATACTTCCCAAAGTAATTTATAGATTCAACACCATTCCCATCAAGCTACCACTGACCTTCTTCACAGAAGTGGAAAAAAACCATCTTAAAATTCTTACAGAACCAGAAAAGAGCCCACAGAGCCAACACAATACTAAGTAAAACAACAACAACAACAGCAACAATGCTGGAAGTATCACGCTACCTGACTTCAAACTATACTACAAGATTACAGTAATCAAAACAGCATGATACTGGTACCAAAACAGAGTTACAGACCAATGGGGCAGAACAGAGACCTCAGAAATAATGTTATGCATCTACAACCATC